ACTGATACGATCCATATGTCCGGAACTAAGCAACATTAATTATTCATTAATGTACCAATTCCCGGGTCAGTACTAGATTCATTGGTTTCAATAAACTACTTTCACTTGAAAAGATTCATTGGTTATTTGACAAGCTTGAATGCGCAATTGAGATGAGCATATGCATAGCGCCACTGAAGTAGCCAACTCATAACACAATGACTTTTGAAACGTAATAATTGTTTTATAAACCTGATCAATGCTGAACATGTCACGAAAATTTCAGTTAGACCCATTGAACATGCGGCACGATTCGATGGAAACGCTTTCATTGTATTCTCAGAGGATGAATTCCCACATTTGACTTCAGAGAAGGAGGAGACCATTGAATTTCGTTTCAAAACGGATGCTTCTTCTGGAGTAAGTTTACCGCTTAATTGCTTTCTGAGGTTCAGTTCTTTTCGATGGTCCATTATCTTTTTTAAATGCTGAACTTCTTGTCACGAAAATTTTGCTTCACCCAAATACACTGTGAGGATTGGCGGGTTTTGATCTGTCATGATCCGTCAGCACATTATAAATTGCTGTAAATGGCTGAGAAATCTCATTGGTTCGAATTTTATCATTGTTTACTCGGTACTTCCGTAAGACTTCAAAATTTCTCATTTACTCGTTCTCGTTTCCTGATGAGAACTCGGATTAGGTAAATAAGAGAAGTGATTTCAAGAGAATTCGCTTGAAGAATGCAAATTAGCGATGCAGAATCGTGTGAAACATCAAACTTGAATCATGCAAAATGTATAAATATGATCCTACGGACATGACTCTTGCTTTCGCAAAAGCAAAACATCACATAATGCCGCACACGCATAATCAATGAATACTCAGATTCATTACCATATTTTTGGTATCAATAAATTCATGCAACGCCTGAATATTGATGACACAACGAAACAAAATTTTCATATTTAATGTAAAACATTGAAAATTCTCTCTGATCGACACGAATTTTGATGATTCAAAATTGAAAATCCAAATAGTCGAGTTGATAGAAAATGAGATGCAATTTGATATTCCTAACAATAAGCTATTTTTAGTTCGATTGCAGGTGACAATATTGGAAAGTTCCATTTCCAATCGCATTCGCTCAACCTGATTAAATATCATTGCTCTTCAGATTGTAGCGATAAATTCATTCGAAAACACCTGTCTTTCTTGAATCAAAATTACTAGTGACTAACGTCACGCCATTCATTTTAAAGTGACTGTGAAACTGAAATCACTGTAGCATGTTTCATAGTGTGTGTTTTTTTTACTTCTCATAATGTGTGTTTTAAACTCACTCTCATAATGCGGATTTCAATCTCAGTACTACAGAGGTATACCAATAGCAACTATTTCATTTTGACTGGAGACGTTATTGTTTCGTTGAAAAAATTTCAGTTGATATTTTGGCAAGGTCAGCAGCCAGGCACACCTCTCGTGGGCGAGGACTACTTATCAATTGGTCTTCAAGATGGCCACTTAGTTTATTCGTAAG